AATAAATAAATAAATAAATAAATAAATAAATAAATAAATAAATAAATAAATAAATAAATAAATAAAAGGAAAGAAAAGAAAAGAAAAGAAAAGAAAAGAAAAGAAATCTTATATACAAACCCCATGGGCCCTGCCATGAACAGTTAGCTGGCCTGCGCTGAATAAGCCTATGGGACAACTGTGATCTTCAGGATCCTCCCATAGGCCCCACCCATTGCTGAGGGATGAAGAATGTTGTGGTCCAACATATGGAGGGCCATACCTGTAGTTGCCCATCACCAAGAAAAGAAAAGAAAAGAAAAGAAATCTTATATACAAACCCCATGGGCCCTGCCATGAACAGTTAGCTGGCCTGCGCTGAATAAGCCTATGGGACAACTGTGATCTTCAGGATCCTCCCATAGGCCCCACCCATTGCTGAGGGATGAAGAATGTTGTGGTCCAACATATGGAGGGCCATACCTGTAGTTGCCCATCACCTGCTTAGAGGAACATCAGATGGTGCAGACCAGGATGCAACTGCTGTTGTTCCTTTTCCTCATTTGCACAAAATGAAGAGGCTTCATAAGCAACTTCACCTTATTAATCAGGTTTGTAGTCCATATCCAGCAATGGAACACTACAGACTAAGGAGCCGCAACCTTGCTGATGGGGGTGTGGAAAATGTTCACTTTTTGTCTGGCTGCTCAGTGGACCTGGTTCTCCTGAGGACTACACTCCTACAAATCAATAGGATATTGGTGTCTGGAACCAGATCAGAAGTATTGTTTGATTTAATCTGTTTCTGTCTTAAAGGAAACTAATGCTATTGAAGTGGGGCTGTCACCACCCCCTTTAAAAGTTTAGTGTGTGTTTGTATGTACTTGTCCTTTCACATCCTAAGAAAGTAATAAAATGCAAAGTAAAATGAAAATAATGTGCTGATTTTTCTTAAACCGACTATTTGAAGCAAATACGTGTGTCGTTATGTGTTACATCTGCGTATGGAGATGAAAAGTAATAACTATCGAAAAGTAACAAATCATACAGAAACCCATATTAACCATTTCCATTTTCTTGAGATTTTCCAGGATTTGTAAGCACAGTGTGTACATACACATCCAAAAATAAAGAAGAAATGGAGTTTTAGCAACATCTATAAGACCATTGTTGCCATTTATATACAATGCCTAAACATGGAGTGGAAGGGCATTACCCCTTTGGCAGGCTCCCTGTCACAGGCCCATTCCTGCTTGGGTTGGGCACTCAGCCATGCATCTATGGTTTGGCAAGGAGCCTGCCAAAGTGAGGGGATGGATGCTCATGGGATTACCTTTTTGCTTTGCATTTAGGCAACAGGATACAGGCTTCTTACAGAGATGCTCAAACTGGTGTAATTCGGAGTGCCAGGGAGGGATCGTTCCAACTTTTCATTTTTAATTGAAGATAAACAGATTCTCTTGGGACAGAACATATGCACTCATGTTGAATTGTGGTTCTAATTGCTTCCTTCTGATTTTAACCGAAAGAATTGGTAGCTGCTTAAAGATGTGCCCCAAGGTATTGCCAGCATTTCTACATGTAGCCAATTTATTGGATACCAAGATGTTCTCCATAAACTGTATCCCCTCTTCTTTTATCAACATGATGTATCCTTCTCTTATTGCTACTACTGTTGCAATACTGAAAATAACATTTCTGCGTTTTGAAGCAATGGTAAAATAGAGTACTTGTCCAGATCCAGACAGTTTTTATTCTAGCTGATCTAATTCCATAAGCTGAATAGGAAACATATTTGCATCTCTTTTCAAAAGGACATATTCTGATTAACTGCAGTAGTAGCCAAAACTAAACATAGAAATAGAGTGATTGCATTTGCATTAGGAATAGGAAGAAGGATGTATTGGCTAGGCCTTTGGTCTGTTCAGCATGATTTTATTTACATTCTGTACCTTTCCTTTCCCGGGAAAACAGTAGCTTAGAGCCAGAAGGTACCCCCCTCCATGTTGCAGTTTGGTCCTTTCTCCCTTTCTCTTTTAAAAAAAATATCCTGAGAGTCATTTACGACTTCTCCAACATTGTGTCTAACTGGGATCTTAAGATGTGTGTTAGTGAGTTGTCATCATGAGATGGCAGTATTAAGATACATTAGCTATTATTTTTCTTCTGCATCCACTAAACTCTTATGTGTTGCACTTTAAAGGCTAGCCCAAAGTATGTTGTTAGTTTAAGAATTTCAAAGACCAGTCAAAGACATATAGGGGAATAAAAATCACCAGTTAATGGGAAGATGCCCAAGTATACTGTATGGCATATACAACACTAAAATCATTGTACTTTTCACCTGTCCTTCCCATCCATTTATATCAAAGAAACTGGTACCCCATTGCTTAATTCTTAGTTTCCAACGTAATTAGTTTTGTTTTCCGCTTGGCTCTGGCCTGCATTAGCACAGGAAACCACATGGGTGGTAAGGTTCTCAAGTGTGTTCTCAAGTAGGAAGTAACTTTAACAACCACAACCACAACAATCATCATCATCCATAACAAAAATGCCTCATGGATTAAAGGTATTTGTAAAAAAAACTCAAGGAAAACAAATTGATGATATTGTAATAACAACTAAAATGATTAAGAGGCAAATAAATGCTGTGAAAAATGGAGTTCACCTGGTCCAGATCAGCTGTACAGATTTAGGTTAAAGCATCTAACAAATCTCCATCAACGTATAGCAGTGCAATTTAACCACTTACTTCAAAATTCTACAACAGAAGAATGGATGGCAACAGGCTGTACGTTTCTGATAATGAAAGATCATCAAAAGGGAAATGAATCCAGTAATTATTGACCAATGACATGCCTTCCAGCAATGTTGAAGCTCCTCACAGGAGTACTTGAAAGATCAATATCTAAATACTCAACTGAAAACTCCCTATACCCAACTGAAGAGAAAGGGAACTTTAAAAAGTCAAGAGGCACAAAAAAATCAGCTGCTTATTGATAAAATGATACTGAAGAATGCAAAAAGATGAAAAACAAACCTTAACAAGACCGGGATAGACTATAAAAAGGCATTTGACTCATTGCCACACAACTGGATTAAGACCTGCCTAAAAATGTTTGGGATAAGTAAACAAATTAAGAAGTACTCTGGAACGGCCTGTCTAAATAGCCAGGTTTTTAATAGTTATTTAAAGATGTCTAGTGAGGGGACCAGGTGAACTGCAGGTGGGAGGGTATTGCACAATTGTGGGGTTACCGTCAAAGAGGCCCAATTTCTGGTGGATGTTTTCCAGGCCTCTCAGGGTCAAAACTCTCAGCCGCCTCCCTGTGTTGATCTTATTGGATGGGCAGACCTAACTGGAAGGAGGTGCTCAGCCAGATATCGAGGTCCCAAAACATACATTTAATTAATTAATT